TTCTTATAGGGTTACTAATTTGCGAAAAAAAGTAATGTGTCCGACAAAAATGTTTTGAGAATAAATGTGTGAGAAAAATTGTATGTCCTTCGGGGCCCCCCTGAGAAAAGAGGCCCTGGGCACGGGCCCCGTGTGCCCTTATCGTAAAGACGGTATTGCCCGCAGCTCTGCTCGCATTGAATCCCTTAAATAAATATCAAAGATTATTAACAAAAAAAAAAAAACTAAATACATCCATAGTATGCACACGAATACTATACCGCGATTGTCATCTTGGTGGTGGTGGTATTCCTCTGATTTACGCTTGATACAATTTTGTTTTCTTACATTTTGAAATTTTTCGAAAAAAATCATATTTGCCAAAAAATTTTCACATTTTTTTTTACTCCTATAAAATGTTTTTTGTTTGCAATTAGTAAAATTTTTTTATATTTTTTAGTAATTATTATGCTATGTCCTTTCTAGTTCCATCAGGAATATAAGTATAAAGTTTCATAGTGATTGGTTAAGTGGATTTGGCGTGAAATGTTACGCTTACATTTATAATATTAGCGTGGAAGTATGGATATGGGTAGCATGGATTAGGAAAAAATTTCGCAACTAATGATTGTTGTTGTTGTATCGGCTGATTTCTGCCGGGTTGACAGTCCTTGGTCGGATAAAACTCCGCCTCCGTTCCTTTTACGTATACCCGACAGTCGTGGGAACGGACTACAGATTGTCTTTAATTTTAGTTACCAAAAAATTTATTCATACTTCCGTTTAACAATGCATGATTGAGTATGTGAAAAATTTTGTTTTGGAATACAATAGAACCCCTACGCATTATTTTCTTTACATATTGTGACAGTTCTGTTAATAGAAAACTACTTCAATTTAACATCAAATATTAACTACTTAATTAATATGTAAATATTTTAATGTTAATAATTATAAATTTGCATATATATTTCTATTGCTACATCCACCAAGTAAAGACAGTTCTTTGATGTGCGATAGTGTGCCCCTTGACCTGTCGTGTAAATTGAATTATCTATCATCTGATTGTCACGGATTGACGAATAAACTACATTTTCGCGTATTTTAATACAAATCTTTATTATCACTTTCAAATTAATCCCCTAAGGCTAGCAAGCCAACACTTAATCCAATTTTCCACACACCTGTTGTCATTGTAGTAGCGGCTGAAAACATTCCTGAAGTAATTTCCAACAATGGTGCTAAGTAACAAATCCGTATTCGTTCCATTTACTTAGATCCGACTGTCGAGCGAACGGTTACACACACTTGTTATACGCCTCGGCTGAGATGGTCTCCGGTGCCTTCAGCGAATTTTGTTGTCGGTTCGGTTCAATTTTGCGATTCGCTAGATTGTTGGATAGTTTCGACGTCGTGTTCATACACCCACGTATCGTCACCTGTACTAATGCTACATTATCAAACATTGTAATTGACGCCCTTCAAATTTTTTGGTACAAGTCTAGCATTGACACGCTTCTTACCCAAAACATTAACCAAAATGTGTTGAATCGATCCATAAGTGATGCTAAGATCTTCTGCTATCGCGCTGATGCCAACACGATGATTTTTAAGCACCGTTTCTTTAACTCTTTTGGTGTTATCGTCATTACCCGAGGTGGATGACCCACTTGCGTGAGGCAAGTTTTCGATGGCTTTACAACCTTCCTTAAATACTTTACGCTACTCAAATGTTTGTATCTGTGAAAAGAATGGACTTCCAAAAAACTTCTGCAATATTTTCAATGTTCCATATCTGTGCTTCCATTGGAAACACAACATATCAAGCAAAATTGTTGTTTAAATTTTTTTCCATGGTAAAATCGCCAGACTAACTTTTTGCGCAGTAAACAGAAATACATATGTATGTCAAACCCACGCTAATTGACATATGGAGATCAAACTTAAAACAGATTGTACCAATCTAGGAAATTCTTTTATCGATTTGGTTTGCGCGCACAGTTTAAATGGATCAGTCCGAGTCATATTTTAGCAGCTGGCTTTTTTACGGACAGCAATTTGTTTTTGAAAAGTATCGGGTTTCTGAGATTCTCCAATTATTTTTTCAGGAAGTAATTTCCGTAATTACTGCTTTCATCTTTATTACGTTCTCTACTTTGTTTATAAAAGCGTATTCCGAAGCGTTTTTTGAAGTTAGTCATTCAAACATCACTAGTAAAAAAACTTAGAATGAAACTTATTCGCCATTGTCTTTAAAATGGCCCCACTTATAGACATAGGGTTTCGATCCTGAGTCATACACCAGCTGCTCAAGTATAGGAAATTCACTTTGTAGGAACTTACGTACAAATTTCGTGCTATGGGTTTTTTGAACGAATCCCTCGATTTTAAATTTAATTTTATACAACAAAGAGACAACTTTGGTAATCTGCGGATATGGCCTTTACTGAAAGCTCCTTGGTGGAAAATCTTTAGTTGGTTTTCTTATGATAAACGCTTTCTATTTGATATTGCTCTTTCTAAACCAAACAAAATAGAACCACCCGCACGAAAAAAGTATTTTGACTAAATTACGATGAGTTGAAATTCTCCTGTGAATAAAATTGTATGTAAGAGCAACAACGGAGCTACCCAGTAGATAGAAGTTACTTAAGAACAAGTAAGGAAGGGCTAAGTTCGGATGTAACCGAACATTTTATACTCTCGCAAAGTCAAATGGTCGTTTGAGATTTCTTTGTGGATTGACTGATATTTTTGGTAGAAGGTCAGCTATATTCACTGGGGTCCACATATTTAGTACTTAGGGGCTTGAACAGTTTTGGTTCGATTTAGACAATTTTGGTCACAAGGTGGCATACTTTAAACGCATTATTCACGCAAAGTTTTACCCTGATATAATTATTGTTGCTTGATATGCATAGTGGAAAGTGAAAGAATCAGATGAAATGGAAAATGGTGTTATATGGGAAATAGGCGTGGTTGTAGTCCGATTTCGCCCATTTTCGCACTATAACATAGAGATATGAGAAGAACGTTATGCACCGAATTTGGTTGAAATCGGTGAAGCAGATCCCAAGATATGGGGTTTCACCTAAAAGTGGGCTGTGCCACGCCCACTGTCTAATTTTAAACGCGGTTCCTATAAAGTCATCTCATACGTATTTATAACTTATATATATTTATATCTTATATAGTTTTAATGATGCCTCAATGGCTTTTTTGGCAACTCTTTATTTGAAAGTGGCGACACTTGAACCACCATGGATGAAAATTTTTTTTTAAAACAATTATTCATTTATTTTATTATTTTAACTATTTAAAAAAAAATGGAGTTTATATTGCCTTAATTTTTTTAAAATCTTGGCAAAGAATTTTTAGGTATTTTTTGCTCTTCATAACTTCATTAATTATTTGTTTTGAACTCAGTTAAGAATAACAGCAATTTGTTATCTAATATATCTAAGAGAGAAAATAAAGTGCTCTTGTCTAAATTTTACTTGAACTAACTCTCTCAATCTGAAATCGTTACCTCCTTGTTCAATTTGACTTTTGTTTAGCGGCCTTGGGACTCCGCGAGCACAGTCTACTGCATATAAAACTCCAACTCACAACCGATATGAATATAATGGCTGCAATGAATAGATAAATGTCCAGTGAGTAGTAGACGAAGCGCGATACATGCACGGCGTGAGCTTTAGTGAGCGGCGCGCCTTTGGTTTTGGCGACATATTCCACCCACCAGATGGCGGTCTCGAGTGCGCTCTGCGGACGATGTCTGTAGGAGAATGAGACCGCTTTGGCGTTATCCATATATCTGCAAGATGAAAAATATAGAAAACACCTTCTCCCTACACTCTCTCTAGTACTCATTTCACTTACTGTTTCTTCAACACCTCTCTTATTGAACTCAGCACTGAATTCTCGGTGATATCGCCATATTTCAGCTCCACACCCATACCGCGATACTTGAACGCCGCCGCATTCAAAAACTGATCACCAAACATGGGCGTGACCACTACCGGTACACCACAGTAAGCCGCCTCTGAACTACCCAATAAACCGCCATGGGACATAAACACCTTCACATTCGGATGACAGAGTATGTCGCGTTGTGGCAACCACTTGCTAACATACATATTATCCGGCTTGTGCTCCAGCGTGGCGTTCTCCCATTTCCAAATCACCCGTTGTTTAAGTCGCTTCACAGCGCGTATGATAGCCTCACGTTTTGCGGGCGGCATAGTCTCGGCGCGTATCATCGAGCCCCAACTAATGAAGACCACACCATGTTCGGCGTTATCGATGAACTTCTGCAGCTCGGCATCGAGCGGCTTAGCCTTCTGTATGTGTATGCCGCCAATATCGATAACGGATGGTGGCAGCGGTTTGACACCGCTCAATGAGAAATGCTGATTGACGAATAACATTGATGTTTCCTTCGCCAATTCGGCAACCGAGGGCATATCGTGTCCGAATTTGTGGCGTACCAAGGCATCGGTAGCGGGCGTGTTGTAAATACTAGCAATCAATTGTAGATATTTTATCAAAAAGGGATGTTTTAGGACCATGAATAATTGTTACTCACTCATAAAGCAAAAGCATGGCATGATGTGTGAACCAATTGGCGAGACGAGCGCCGAATGTCATTTCCTCGGAGTGTCCCATAAATACTAATGGCATAACTGAGGTTATCATGGGCATGCCCATGGGTTCGTAATGCCAATTCAGCATAGCAGAACTAGATTTTTTTTTGGTTTTATTATAAATACAATTATCGCTCTTTTAGTTAAAAGACAAAATAAAGAAACTTCGCTCACCTGCTCAACCCTATGAAAGGCGCCTTAAGTTGATGTGCCACCGCTGTCATGCAATCGCTATTGAAATGCTCCGTGATGATCACATCGAAATGTTGCCGCTGTCGCAACACCTGCGCCAAAGCATCGGAACGCAATGTGAGATTGCAAGCGTCTTTCCCCCATTCGGTGATTAAAAAGAATATCTGGAAGTGATCGTAGAAGTGCTGCGTTTCGAAGGTCTGAAACGAAAAGAATCACATTAAAATTAAAAAATTGCAAACATAAGCTGTGAGTATGCTAAATTGATTTTAATTAAAATTTATAATTTTTTCGAGTCACAATAAACGCAAACTTCGGAATTCACATTTAGTATAAATGAAAAAATATAGTTTTTAAAAGTTCTCCGAAAGTGCTTATATACAAAACTGTTATTTGATATAAGTAATCTTATTAAGGGGTTTGAAAATCTTTAAAATGTGGGCGTGGTCCCGCCTCCAAATATATCCCATCAACTTGAGTTATAACAACCAAATTAGCACACGACAAATCTTTTCGATACCTCGTCCGACAATGGGAAAATAGTTGAAATCGGATGATAACCTCGCACTTAAATCACAATTTTAAATTCCAAGCGATTCTTTCACTTTGTCGAAATCGAACCATAACTTTTCAAACCCCCAGATACCGTAAATATTGACCTCAGTGCCTTCAGCTGATATTTTACTTAAAATATTGATAAATGTTTTAGATATATTATTACCAGTCAAGTGAAGCTCATTTAAGAAAGCTCGCGGCGAATGATCTGAATGTTTTCTCAGTTGCAGGATAGAAAATCCAAAGTAGTCATCACATACATTATTGTGTTTAGATATAAGTGGCTTCAACGAATTTTGTTTTCGGTTCGGTTCAATTTTGCCATTCGCTAGATTGTTGGACAGCTTCGATGTCATATTCATAAACTCACGTTTCGTCACTAGTAATGACGCATTTAATAAAGGTTGGGTCCTTAGCTACGTTGTCAAGCATTTCTTTTGCGACCTCTACTTGACGTCGGTTTTGCAAAGATTCAGGTATTTTGGTACAAATCTAGCATTGACACGCTTCATACCCAAAACATTAACCAAAATGTGTTAGTCGATCCATGACAGATGTTGAGCTCCTCTGTCATCGCACTGATACCAATACGTTAATTTTCAAGCAACGTTTCTTTAACTTTTTTGGTGTTATCGTCATTTACAAAGGTGAATGGACGACATGCTTGAGGCAAGTTTTCGATGACTTCACGACCTTCACTGAATACTTTGTGCCATTCAACTACATGTTTTCGTGATAAAGTGACACCCCAAAACACTTCTGGAACATTTTCAATAGTTCGTTGGCGTAATTCCATTAGAAACACGAAATTTCAAGCAAACTCGTTCAAGTTTGTTTTCCATGGTAAAAATCCAGACAAACTTCTCGCCTCGTAAACAAAAATGTGCTAAACACATACCATACAAATTGATATATTATATAATATGTATGGAAATCGAACTTCACACCAACATAAAAACGTTTGTACCAATCTTGGAATTTTTTTTATCGATTCGGTTTGCGCGTGTATATTAAATGGATAAGGGTCAAATTTAATCACATGGTAATAAAAAGTAAACAAGATTAGTAATATGGATTTATTGTTATATTGTTATATTTAATTATAAACTTTAGATTTTAAGTAGTCTTCTGAACATGTCACAGCATTTTTGCGCACGTGTTACACATGCCTTAGTCAAAATCATAATAAGAATAAAAAAAAGTTCTTCATTGGTTTTTATGTATAAAAAAATGGAAAAATTTTACTCAATAAAAAAACATAAAAATTTTATATATAAATAATTTATTAAGAAATACTGATCATCCATTTAGGATTCATTCTTACGATAGACATTTTAAAGTAGACTCCAAATGTTAAAAAATTAATAGTTTTACTTTTCCTGTCATGTTCCGTAGAAGTTTTTCTTATTACCCCCTAAATATAGTCCACAATACAATATACTGGCCTTGGTAACGTCTTTGAAATTCGATTATGTATATCTTGATGGAAGTTCTACTAGTTTGTCGACTAAGGTCCAATATTTTCTTCAAATTTATCTAAATGAGTGTGTAATGATGGAGAAATTCGTAATCATTACGTAATCCAATGAAACCACGACCTACTGCCTTAAAACTGTTCTCCACATTGCTAAGCAAACTTGCTGCAAACTTTATTCGCTTTCATATCATAACCTATGCACTTAATGTTATTAAAATAGTTAATAATTAGACAGTTCTACAAAAACAAAAATTTGCTTTTTGTTATCCGGGGCAACTAAGGAAATTTTGATACTATCAAGTGTCCAGATTACGACCTTATTCATGAAAGTATTAAAAGTTCTCTTGTTTTTAGATAATTGCATATCTAATAGTTTAATAAATATCTGCTTGTTAGTAATAAAAATTTAATTTTCCAGTCATAATTAGAGTCCTGCGCACCTTTTCGCGCATAAAACCATCACGTGAACTTTTCAAAGCTGTACCTCCAAAAATAACATTTTTGTTTTTTGAAGCCGTGAAACACATGTAACCCCTTAAGGTTTTACGAAAAATAAAATGTGGAAATATCTAGAATTACATTCCTTTTTTCATTTCAAAAGTAATTCACATGGACTACTCAGATACAAGGATGTCGCCAAATACCTAGATATCGGTGGAGTCTTAGTAAAACATATACACCAGTTTTTTTTTATTCAAAATGAACTCAGTGATTTAAGACGTGATCAAGTTAGGAAAGATAAAACAATTTGTCAAAGCGTTGGACATGGAAGGATATTTTTTAGTGACATTTGTAAAAAATTTCCAAACTTAGTATGGAAAATTTAAAAATGGAAGACTTGATGGTTTTCAAAGCGGCAATTATTGAAAAATACAGATTATATCAAGATCATAACTGTTACGGAAGTCGAAGCTTGAAAAAGGTTTGGTATAAAAACTTCATAGGCAACCATTAAGTACCAAATTATGAAGGAATTGCGCAAAATATGCTGACAAACTGTAAGATTCTAGGAGAAAATTTAAGTATCAAGTTAATTTGGAAATTATTGTGATGAACAGGAGAGCGGTTCAAATAAGATCTTAAAGTGATGGAAGAAAGGTATCAATATTGAAGGGATCGTCACATGATTACTGTTAGTTCTTTAAAAATATTGTCGACTAGAAATTTATAACAGAAAAGTACATAAAAGACTTTTTATTAAAATAGAAATGTTTCGAAACTTGTTTCTCTGTTACTTCGATGTTTCCTCATTTTCAAAAAAACTGACATTAGAAATATTTCAGTTGTTTTGTTTCATGCTTTCTGTTTTTGTAAAGAGCAAATCTTACAAAAGCATTGATAGTTTCATAAACTGTGTGCACAAATATATACAAAATCGATCCTATATCTAGGGCAACAAAACCACTGTAGACCAGTGCTATAAAAGATAGAAATAAGGTCATCATCGAAATATATGTATTGCAAGAGTTACATGCCACATGTGGAGAGAATTTAACCTTAAATCATACTTTTTCTCTCTAATTTTGGTAAGTTTGCCGCAAATATAGCAAAACGAGCCAACGTTTCCTTTACAACTTCTCGAAGACATTTTGTACTGATTGTAACAGGAAACAATATTATGAAACACAGTATTTCCCTGCAATTTGCAAACACAACGAACAATGAAAGCGACATTATCTCCGGTGCTCTTCCTTCTCTTTTGACGGCAACAGCAGCGCAGGCCGTCATTATACAAGTATGGGCAATTCCTTACTTAAAAAGCAATTCGATTTTCGATTTGTAATCGTCCTTTCCCCACATATGTATATTTGCTTATACTCGTATTACCAGAATATATTAAGTAAAACCCATGTTCAAAATAATTTTTTTTCGTTGACCTGTGTAACGAACATACTCACTCAAATATAATATCAATTTATACATTCGAGAAGCTAGACACAATTAAAACGTCAAAAACTAAAATTTTGCACTCTCATCATTAGTTAGCAAATAAAAGCAGTTACTCGTGCGGAGAAAGATAGATTTTTCATTCATTCAATTAAGCTCTTAAGAGTCTTTCACTTACCTTCAAGTCCACGCTATTCGTAAAAGTTTCATTAGCTATTAACGGCAGATCTCTGTACCGTGCTGATGGACTTTTATCGGGAAAATGGCTTATCACAGTAACATCATGACCCTTCTCGGCCAAGCCCCGCATAATGGGGTGGAAGAAGTGGAAGTGACTAATGCCTGGGTGTGGAAATAAACCTAGTATTTTGAGTGGGTAACTGGCTTGCACCAGTGTGCAATAAAAGCTGAGCAACAGCAACATGTGGCCGAGCGTTAGTCCCGCCATCGCTATGGGAAGAATTAAAATAGTAAAGATATATAGAAACTTTATTTGGCAATAAATAGAAGGAAAAAACGAATTAAAAAGTTTTAAAAATAAATAAAAAATTATTAAACATTGTAATATAAAAAAATGCTTAAAGCTGTTAAAAGTTCAAAACTCGCAAAATCACGAAAAAATTGATTTAAAAAAATAAATTAGAGTAATAAATAAAATTTAAATAAAGTATAAAAATATGTAATTTGAATAAAAAACGTAGTACTCTAACCGTTTTTTAATACAAAAAAGATTAACGTTTTTTTATTAAAACTAAGTAAATTTATAAAATATAAAAATATATAGATCGAAATACATTTTATATAAGTAATTTTTTTTTAATTACTGATTTAAATTATACTTTTATTTTTTAAAAGAAAATATTAAATTAAAAATGTAACGAAGGGATAAGTTCGGATGTAACCGATCATTTCATACTCTTGCAAGCATCAAAGCCGTTGGCAAAACTTTATATTAAACTAGGGAAAGTAACGCAGTGATTTTATCCATTTAAGGCAAAAGGATATACTGTTATCTGAATTTCTGTAAGATTTCTTACATATTGACCGATGGAAGCAGTATAAAATGATCCAGAAGGGCGAGTAAGGGAAGTGTTTACCCGATTTTACCCATTATTTCGAGAAGAGGAATAGGAGGAGCGTGATTGAATTTTTAAGGGTTAAAAATGGTTTATCCCGACCGCTGACAAAACTATGATTCCTATAGAAAAAAGTTTTTTGGTATTATTGTAGGTAATAAAAATATCTATAACTCTTGTTTATAGTTTCTTTCACATGACCTCAAAATTGATGTGAAAAATTCAAATGACAAAGTTTTTAGGTTTCTTAATAATATAATTTTTTTTTTCTCCCCTATTTTGACTTAATATCGAAAAAAATCGAAAAAATTTGTTAAAAGCTCTACTTTTTGGTGATATAAAAATTGTATACAGTACTATTTTTCTCATAAAATGCAAACAAAGACCCCATATTTCTTTTTTTTTATCCTTTTTAAAAGGCTTCAGCAATAATCAATTTACTGAATTTGGAAAAAACAAACTTTATTTTGTTTGCTGCTTGACATTAATTTGGTAAAAAGCTCACTTAAGTGGTTTTACCGCTCGATTATACAAGAATTTTGTTAACTTTCCTCATTACTCAGCATTTTTTTGCATGTCGCACGTTAGTAATAAACTAGGAAGAGATATATAAACATTTATCTACACATGAATTCAAAACTTTATACCCGATCGAAATTTTGTTGTTCTAAAAAATACTGCTAAACCAGGATAGATAATTTTTGAAAGCAAAAAAAATTATAGTGGGATGAAACCCACGCAACACCAATGATTTACTCACCACTGCTCTATAATGCAAAATAACACAACCGAAAATTTACTGTTACTAATACCTGTACACCGAACACACGCGTTTATAAAAAAAAGTTAGAGGTCAGTTGATTTGTGAAAAAACAATTAAAATGAGATTACAAATAAAAAAGTGCTCCAAGCCCAAAAGAACCGAATCGCTGCAGCTTTCTTCGCCGACTGACTAAGTCAAGGTAGTGCCGGCTAAGCAACATTAGTAAATGCATTCAAATATGTTTATGTTCAAACAATTTCCTACTACAAGAATAATAGAATCAAAGATTACGCTAATCGCTATCTTGTGACGTAATTTTTTTTGAGTTGAGAAGGGGAAGCATACCAGCACAGGTTGCTTGATAATTGTCTTTGATTCGTCAAACCATGCATAGTGTTGAAACGAACTAACAAATGGTAAAACTCATAGACCATAATATAAACAGAATAAAAATTTGAACACTATCGTGTTTTGCTTATATAGTACGGTACTATCTGTCTGTATATACATACATACATACGCGAACTAGTATCATCTGCTCATGTGTCGGCACCGCCGATATCGGCCAACTATAGCATATAGCTGCTGGCAGCATGATTGACGTAGTCCTCGTAAGTGCTTACGTATGAACTCTCGTGGCGCGCTCTGATTGGCTTAATAAGCGAAAGGGAGCAGTTAGTAAAATTAGCACGGTAGGCAATGGAAAAACGGGAGCCGATCATGTATTCCGATCACAACTTCCAGAGGGTAGAGTTCAGAGTAAATTTTTTAATTTTTAAGAATATCGCATTAATCGTCGTTAAATATTATTCAGTTAAATTGCAAAAAATTCTCGCCTATTTTTTTAACCGCTGCCATTCAAACCAATCTTAAGTCCCTGTATGGAAAATATTTTTATGTGACAGGATATCTTTACGAAATTTGGTATAGGTTCGGATCACTACAGCATATACAGTATCGGACAAAACATTTGCAACTAGACCTAAGTCCTCGATTTTTTTTTCGAATTGCTGTTTGTTTCCTGTTTTTAAACTTACAGCATTGAAGTTACATATTTGGAAATGTTTATTGCGATCTTTTTTTCTGTTGTTGGTTATATTTGAAAACAATTTAAAATGTATGCTGTTTGCTTCGCTTTATACATGTGTAACTGTAAAAAATACTTAAACGTCAAAGGCATCGCTACAATTTTTGAACAAATTGTATAGCTTCGTTGCAGCCTATTTCTATTATCTTAAATTTCTCTAACACCTTATAATCACCTTTATTGCTTTGTTTGTTATTATAATTAAATATTTATTTGTTCGCCACTTATTCCTTCACTTGCTTCGTTATCGACTTTTTGACGAGTCGCAATAAAATAAAATTTAATTACGGCACGGTAAAACCAGTCTTTTATATATTTCTTCTAAGAAAATACTGCTCTCTTCCTGCATTACTTTGGACTAGAAAAGTGGATAGTGCAAGTTCGCTCGAATTCTAGTGTACTAGTGCGTAACTAGCCATAGATTTGTCAACTCACCAGTCGCTCGCCGACTCACACACATACACGTCCATACATACAGTGTATCACAAAAATATATAAGTATGCAGTGTGTTTATCTGTTTTGTCATGCAAAAAAAGCCTTAAAACTAATATTATTAACCAATTTTTTTATATTTTCAATTAATTCTTATATTTATATGTCTCCAATAACAAAAACCCAAACTTAAAGTAATAATTTTTCAAATTACAGAAAATAATGTTCCAATAGCTTAAAATTACGTCACTAAAGTATCGATGCACTAAAAATAAATTGCGAAAATTGAGTTCTAACGGGTTTATTTTTAAGCTTTAATGGACGGTTAATATTTCGTTGGATAGCTTGTGGATTTTTTAATTGCACTCAACCTGGATGGTATGGACTTCACCAGCTTTTGGGTTATTGAAGGTGGAATCTTGCTCCATTCTTTGATTAACGCAGCTTTCAAAGATTCTTTGCTGGTTATTTGGTGTCTTCTGATTTTTCTTTCTAAATAATTCCACAAATGCTCGATAGGGTTGACATCAGGAGATTGGGCTGGTGTTTTCAATTGTTTGGGTGTTTTGTAAAGAAGCCCTTCCTTAACAATGCAGGCGGTGTGTTTTGAATCATTGTCATGTTGGAATACAAATGATCCTTTAAGTCCCAATTTAGCCGCACTTTCGCTCAAATTTGCTTTCAAAATGTTAAGGTAATCATATTTATTTATTGTATGCTCAATGAACACAAGATTACCTACTCCAGATGCTGCCATTCATCTCCACACCATGAACGACCCACCACCATGTTTTACCGTGGCAGTCATATTCCGTGGATCAAGCTCAGTATTCACTTTCTCCAAACTTTTTCATGTCCATGCTAGCCAAAAATATTGTATTTACTTTCGTCGGAGAAAATAACAGAAAACCAGAAATGTTCGTCTTTATTTTCGTGCAACTGGCAACCCTGCCTTGTAAGAGAGCAATCAGCTGATACGTTTTACGGGTTTGCATCGATTACTAACTGAAGCATAAGTTTTCGCATAACCGGTATATGTAAATACCCTAGTGAAAGTGGTTAGTTCTTATATAATATTCGCAAGGATGAAATGATGCGAGACTCTTTGAATCGAGAGAGAGCTGTCAAAACCCACATTTTTTATAACATTTGCCAATGTTGCCACTGCCGTTAAAAATCGATTAGGTATTTAAAAATACGTTTTGGATATTTTGCAATTTCCACACTACCATTGAGGCAATTAGCGCGTTACCGATATTATTTTTGGATGCTCGGTTCCCCAGTAGGCCTATATCACTCATATACTATATACATATAATATTTACTTATGAAAAATAAGTCGTAGTACTAATATATAATACTATGCAAACATAAAAAACTATAGCAAAAACAAAACAATTCATAAAAAATATCACATTTGTATAAAGTATAACAAACAAACAAACCAAAAAATTATAAATAAACAATAAATATTTAATATATACACAAAGAAACAAAACATTTCACAAGCAATATCACATTTCCCATTTATATAAAAAAATAAGTAGACAAAATTAAATATTTCTAAAATACTTAAAATGTATAGCTTAGTATAATATTTACATATATGTGTAGACAATAGTAATATATAAAATGCCAAAATTTGCCAGAACCCAGTTGTGAATATACTCGAGAAAAAAAAGAAAGAAGGCGAAGAAGAAATAGGACACAAGAAATGGTCTCGAAAATTATATATCTATATATTAATTTTGAAGCTATTTTGTCCCAAAAACCTACATATGCGAAACACATAATATGTTTGCCTAAAAGTGAGGAGTACTTAGGTCCCTATTGAAAAACTTAAGTGAAAAAAATATTCGTATCCTAATATATAACGCTAGAATAGCATTACTGTTGCTATTATCGCAACATTTATATGGGCTGACATTCTTCATTTTGTCGAACAATAATTGCCCTACACCTATTCTGTGACAACAGATACAAATCCCTGTGGCGGCTTAATCAAATTGCACCTGTCCACTTGCCTTTCCTGCGTACAGAGATATTCTAAAGAAATTTCGTCTTCTAAGTAGGATAAGGGTTGGGAGCA